TAGTGTAGATACCGAAGAGCAGGTATTAGAAGTCATTTTCTTAGAGCCCCGTGAATAATGTGTTGTTCTTTTTAACGAAAAGTAGTGCATTTTCAGAATTCACTATGCATCATATCCCTGATATTAATTTTATCGTTATTTCTAAAAAAGAGTACCACATGTTCATTCAAAGAACGTTATTAAGTGTACTAAAGCATAAATATCGCTTTTGATTAATCGCTGCTTATGATTTTCAATAAACAGTATCAATTTTTACCGAACAGCTTTGTTGCTGACACCTAATCTAAGCAACGAAAAAAGAGACGAGACTCCACTTCTCTGGTGTATTGAAATCATAGGTATCTGCTGTGGTGTCAATCATGTGGGGGAGATACTGAAAACGGAGACTTATTCAAGAATAATATTGATGGAAGCGGATCCTAGGAGAAGTGTCCGCTGCGTAGCGCAAATGAATGGATGCTCAAGATCGACCACTCATCGTATCCTTCAAGAGAGAAGACTGCATCCTTACCATTACACGAGAGTGCAGCATCAGGGACCAACCGACTACCCGATTCCAGTCCATAGATTAATAATATTGCTCTTGATATGCTCTCACGTTAGCGAAATGTGGATTTTCGTTTGCCCAGAAGTGCCAATGGTGCGCATTAAATATTCCTTTTCGGGAAAATGAACATTCGTCGGCGAAAGGACTGTGACGTGAAAAATCAGGATTTAGTTCATTTTGTCGCAGTAACCATTGAGCAACATGCACTCATCGCGCAGTGGCTCATCGCAGATGCTGCACTTTCGTCAATAGTAAGGATGCAGATTTTTGTCTGTAAGGATACGATGCATGATCGATCTTGAGCATCCATTCATTTGTGCCACTTGTTCTTCACCGTCTACGCGTATAATCCGTGTAGCCCCAGGAAGGCCTTTCCGAATAGGCTGAAAAGATCCATCTTCTTTTGCTGGATGCAACAAACGACGAAACACATGCTGGTCAAGGAGCCGATGGTTGGGGAAAAGACCTGTGTATTCGCGCACAGCAGTGGCTGCAGAGCGTTTACATTCTCCATAAATTAACATAATTTCCAAATATTCTTCATACTAGTATGAACAAGACATCAATAACTTAGTACTGATTTGTTTATAGTTTGTATTGTCCTTAAATAAAAAAAAATGCAACTAAACGATTTTTGTCACATTTTTTATTCGGATCTTTTCAATCTCTAGAAAGTACTCACAACTTTAAAGAAACTGTTTTAAATCATCATGTGCAACATCAATGTTATTCTTGAATAAGTCTCCGTTTTCAGTATCTCCCCCACATGATTGACACCACAGCAGATACCTATGATTTCAATACACCAGAGAAGTGGAGTCTCGTCTCTTTTTTCGTTGCTTAGATTAGGTATCAGCAACAAAGCTGTTCGGTAAAAATTGATACTGTTTATTGAAAATCATAAGCACCGATTAATCAAAAGCGATATTTATGTTTTAGTACACTTAATAACGTTCTTTGAATGAACATGTGGTACTCTTTTTTAGAAATAACGATAAACTTAATATCAGGGATATGATGCATAGTGAATTCTGAAAATGCACTACTTTTCGTTAAAAAGAACAACACATTATTCACGGGGCTCTAAGAAAATGACTTCTAATACCTGCTCTTCGGTATCTACACTATGTAGAATAGTAATAAATGTATTATTTGCCTACGATGAAATGAAACAGCTTCTCTTATGACATGTACAGCTCAGTTAAACACAATTTAACTAGAATGGCAGCAGAAATAACTTCTGTCCCATGCTACTTGCCTTAAAGTAAACCTTGACGTCTCTGTGTACATTAATCAGTCATCTTTGGGGGCAGAAGCGTCTGTTCAAGTCAGTGATGAACTTCGTGACAGTTTATGACAAACAATTGTCAAAATGATTAAATTTATAACCACACTTCTGTTTCCTTTTGTTGACGGAGGGGGATTCGGAAAAAATTCATTCAGCTTGAGTATTACCGGATTTTTTGTTCTTGGCATAGGTAACTTTGAACATAGAAACGTTCGGATATAAAAGCAGCCTCTCTATTGGTCAACTTAATCGCCTTCCAGTTCTCACACGGTTAAAGCCTGGACAATTCTTTTTGCGAATTACGGCACAGTTCGGGACAGGGAACATGTCATTCACGGGAATGGCGCGAATTCTGGGACACCCTGTATATCAAAGAATTTGAGGAAGTAGTTACGGAGTTTAGCGAAGATTCTTCTCAATCGATTAAAGATTGCATAGATATTTTGGAAAACAAAGATTTGCGACAAGATCTAGCTTTTCTAAGAAGCAATTATCAATTCGTATGTGAGGTAATAGAAAAGTTAGAAAAACCCAACATGTTGTTGGTAGATGCCATAAACTTAGTGAAAGAATTTAAACAACAAGCAAACGCAGTAAGGGGTGATATTGGTACTAGAGTATCTCAAAAACTTGACGAAGTGTTAAATAAAAATGCAGGTTTCGGTGTTTTTTCCGACGTTGCTCGTGTTTTACAAGGCCAGAAGGTGGAAAATTTGGAGTTATATGATTATGTTTTTAATGCTTTTTTGCTTAAAATAAAACTTTTTTATTAAAAATGTTGTGCTTATTTAAGCGCTTAGAATTTAATATAGAAAAAACAAAGTATATGGAACTAAAGAATAACTGTGGGAGTAGAAACAAAAACAACCTACAAATAGACAGACAAGAAGGAATAAAAGTAGAATTTGAAGAAGTAGAAATGTTTATGTACTTAGGGGTGTCGATAACCAACAAATGCCAACAAGACAAAGAAATAGAACTGAGAATTGCTAAAAGTTACAACAGTGCAGGAGGATTACGAAAACTTATGAAAAATAAAGAAATACCAAGGCAAAAAAACTAAGAATATATAAAACCATAGTGAGACCAACCCTAACATACGCATGCCAAACATGTATGATGACAAATAAAATGAACCAAAGACTGGAAATTTGGGAAAGAAAGATACTTAAAAGAATCTTTGGAGGGAAACAAACAGAATGAGGATGGGAAAGAAGAACTAAGCAAGAAATATATGATTTATATAATGTCACAGTTGTAAGCAATTTCATAAAAACAAAAAGATTGCAATGGTTAGGACACCTAGAAAGAATGGCCCAAGAAAGAGAAGTTAAGATGGTGGCGTGGAAAATTCCGGAGGGCAAAAGAAAAAGAGGCAGACGAAGAAAGAAGTGGAAAGAAGCGATAGAGGAAGACCTAGCAGAAAAACAAATACAGGACCGGAGGAAGAACGCAAAAAACCGAAGGGAATGGAGACGCATCTCAAAGCTATGGGCCTTAATATGCATATATATAATCAAAATTTATCTGTTTATTACTTTCCAAAAAACTGATACCCTATATAAAATATGAAAGATATTATGAATGTATATTTGCCTTATATACGTGACTTTATATATCAAAGGATAAATAGATTAGTCACAATCATACTGAAATTAAGGCATGCATATACAGTTCGTCAAGTTATTTTCAGTCTTTTATTGTAATGTGTACATGGAATAATGCCAAATCTATCAAAATAAAAACAAGCTTGGAATAAATTAAAAAAAAAAACGTGTTTTTTCAAATGTTTAAAACTGATGTCTTTTTCCTAATATATTATTAACTGCACACCATACTCCAGGTTTCCTTCCATTTTATCAAGTAGAGAAAAATAACGCAACTTTTGATTTTTCTTATATCTACCATATTCTCTCATATTATCAGTTATGATAAAGCCTCATTTCTTTACCCAGAGTGAGTAATGTAACATAATAAACACACGTTACATATCACTACATACACTCATTTTCCTGCGAAGTTTTAATCCATACAAGGAAACTGTTACACTACATATTTAATAAAACAATAAATAATGTGATTACAAAGTAAAGTGTGTACCTAATTGCTGTAACTTATGTGAAAAGTAACTAGAACCAAGTTACCTATCTTGTCAGAAATCTGATACCTCTGCCACTTAAAACTTTCTTTGATGTCACGTCAAGTTCATCTTAACCTGGAACTTACATCTTCAACATGTAAGAACAGGAAACTGAAAGCATTTTCTAGAACAGAAGCCGCTTTTACTTCCCCAGCTAGTATTATAGTTAGGTCAATTTTAGCGGGTGTCTAATTTCATGTTTTCATTTTCAAAGCTTGTAAAAATAATAATTTTGGTTTCCTCTTTCCGTCCGTCTGCCACGTGTTTGTCTGTCTGTTGACGCTAACCAAAATTTGTGTATTAATGTCCACCAAACATTTGATGATGTCATCTCAAGATTTTGCTTAGTACCCATATAAGAAGAACTTTATTAGGTTGCAATGACGTCTTTTAAATATGTAAGTTGTCGCAGATGAAAACAGGATATGACTTATGTTATTTAATTATTTTGAAATGATAAAAATAAAATATTAATGTGTAAAAAAAGTAATTTTTCTTGCATATTTTACATACATTTCTCGCAGATTTTAGCAATTTTTTTGCATAATGCCAAATTTCTCTGCATATAATTCCGAGTTTTATGCATCACTAACACTCAACAGCTCATCACTTGGGAGAATCAAAATAGAAACTTGCCCTTTAATTTTTTTGTCGATTGAGTTATTAATTATTCAGTTCACATGAGACAATAACGACCCACCAACAATATTAGCTTTTTATATTAATATACTTATACTGCGGAAACATCGATATAAAAGGAGATAAGTAAGATCTTAAATTCCCCTACCGTAAGTACGTGAATGGAGTAAAATACTGGAAAAAAAATTATTTATACCCGCGATGGCGTCAACTCAAAAAATCATTAAATAAGTTTACATAGAAAAATATGTCCCGATATACCGCAATATTGGTTGTTTTAAAAACGAAAGAATAAGGTATAACTAACTACAGGTTTTCCTCGATAATATAAAAATGACTTTCTCCTTTAATTTACTACTACCCATGCAATATCTAGTAATTATAACCTGTTTCACTGTGTGGTGTATCCAACAGGCTTGGAACGGGCGATACAGAGTCCCTTAATGGGGAATCTTGTACAAAACAATGATGTTAGAACAAATCTCGCAAAAACTCAAACTATTTCTAATTTAAAAGTATCAAATACAGACCTGAAGAATTCTGAGTGGCGGAATGACGCGTCCTCGAAAACGGTCTTTCTCTTATCAATTCAGCCACTGGTGCCTTTCTTCCTTCCGGGATTGGTTCTTGCAACCTATTATTACATGGAAGTGGTTCCGCAGAAGCGTATAATTCTAGTTCTTGGTTCAGTCCTTCTTCAGAATTTCTCGACGACTTCGGCGGTGGGACGCTGGCCGAACTCCTCAAAACAGGAGATGGCTCTTCAAAATACAAGGAATTAGTGACAATATTGCCTCTTTATTAAACAGTAAAGTTTAATTAACATTAAATGACAGTTGTTGCCTTATAATCGTAATAAAATGACAATTGTGTATATTATTCTAAAGAATAGTTTTCTCGTACGTAACGGTTTTAGTTATTTGAACAGATAAGAGCAAGAGCTGTTCAAGAATCATTATGGTTACTAAAACTACAAACTCTACGAGCTATTTAAAAACAAGGCAAGAGGTCATTTCCGGCTAACTGAAAACCATTCTCTCATCAATAATTTCGAATCCAACGATCCCCTCATTAGCTTTTTTCTATTTTTAGGATCGAACACAAAAAGAGTATTACGCTGCAGAAAGGTTTCTTTATGTGATAATATTCGAATAATTTTCTTTGTAAAATAAGAGAACCCATTCAACTTTCCAACCCTACATACCAACTACTTAAATGGAGAATTAGTTCGAATAAAAGCATCGACTGTTTTGTCGCTGAATTGTGACAATATGTAATCATAAACATTTAGATAAAAAATAAATCGATAAAACTACCGACGCAATATGTGCGGAAAAACGAGTTTTAATATAAGTTCTTTTAGCAAAAAATCCAATAGTATCTTGACAATGCACGTTCAAAGCGCTTCTTCAAATCTATCATGCACAAGTCCAAAACATGTTATTACAAAAGGTAATGTAAAGCAAAAACTACATCAAAGAGATAAATGAAAATAATTTTCCAAGCATTATTCTTTATTTTTGTTTTCAAACATCACAACCTATAGCAAAATCAATTTACGGTTTATCTGTGATATTACGAACTGCCCTAAAATTTTTAATTACAGAATATTAACTAAATATTTTATGTATTAGTGGTCAGTTGCGGGCTGCGGTCAGAAAGATTTGCATATAGTTTTAAGAATTAATACCATAAACACTTATTCCCTGTTGTAATAGATAGTTGACGTGGATGTTAGTCATTTAAAAGAAAATCATACTTTCAGACACACAACGAGATGCAATTTTTTGTTATTTATGTCAAAAATGGCATTGAGGTCTACTAATTAAAAATTTATAAAATATTTCTAAAGTTCTATCTAAATAACTTCAGAACAATTTTTCTCGTCTAGTCCCTAAAACCTTTAACCCACAATGGAATATACTTTTTAAATTTGTCGTATGTTTGTTTTTTGGAATTTTCGCCACCTTTTTAGATCGAATGCAAGTCTCAAGTTATGAAGTTTAACGTAGAACGTGCTAGGAGCAGATGAATATCGGGGCAATTTGAAACGTTTTCCTTCAACGCCCCCTAAAGGAAACTCGCATTCATCTGGAATGAGATGCAATATACTATGTGAAAAGTACATTATGTTATGTTGCGACAAAGTTATAAGATTCTTTTTAATATTAAAAAGTTGGGTCGGAAGCTCGATGCTGGCTACCGCTATGCTACTCTCTACGCCTCATCTTTGGTATTAGAGAATCCAAAAATATTGGTAAAAACGAGCAATGTAGAATTATATTTTCTGCAATCTGTAAAGATCTAAATACGGGTTTAACTAGTTTTAATACATACTTTCAAATCAAATAGCAATTCTACTATTGAATTAAATTGTAGAGATTAATTAATTATTATTTAATTCGTCAATCGCTAATTACACTTCAGACTTCACTGAAGTTTACAGTAAATTATTATTTATTCAATTCATTATACAGTGTGGAAACTACTTATGGAATAAAATCGGTACCTAATTGTAAAACTAGCGGTGTTTGTCTAAAACGGCGAAGCAAGTCAATTTTTATTTTTTCACTTGTTTACGTCATCCATTTTTGAGCCATAGTCTTACATAATCTTTACTTTACGTAATAGCATAAATAAGTTCAGCAACTTAGAGCCAGTCACCACCTTTGGCTCTTGCGGAGTATGCAATATAATAATATCCCCATTATTAACTGACTTACTGTTCTGAAAAAATATAAAAAGTCCACAACAGCAGTTTAAAAAAAACATTTATCACTTTTAAAATTTTAGTAAAATTTTTCTAATATGTACGCTGATGATGGATGACTCATCGTGGGTGACGCCGGCCGGGTGACGTTCGCCAAAGAAAATCCTTGGCGCGGAAGTCGCGATAGGTACTCTGGAAAATCCTCGATTGCGAAATATCTAGAAACAAAGTATGGGTTTAAATAGAGGCGATCTTCGGAAACGATTGAATCAATTCAGTGAACGAGAGAATCCAGTCAAGTTGTGCCGGAATTATTTTGTACATAATCGCTGTCTAATTAGACGTGTAAATTTGAGTTACTGAGAAATAAATTGTTGAGTTTTACCCACACCGATTTTCAAATACCCGTCCAACGTAACAATATTTATCGAACAAAATAATTACCATGATATTCCAAAAAATTGATCTAAAGTGTGCAGACGGTACGCCAAAATAACTTTACGATTTTTTAATCCAATTCGGCTGTTCGATGTTTCGAATTTTTAAATATTAAATTTTTGTAATGTATATTTTTTCGATTTTCACTTTTCGGATTTTGGTCTGTCTTCAATGGATGATTCGATTTTTTGTATTTTCAATTTTTGATATCCCAATTTCGCGGTTTTTCGATGTATGTACTGATTTTTTAATTTTTCGATGTCTTTTAAATTTTAGATTTTTAGATTTCTCAATTTCAAAATTTTTGATTTTTCAATTTTCCAATTTTTCGATTTTGCGCCGTTTCCATTTCCCGTTTAATTTTTCAATGTCTGGATGTTTTCATTTCTAGATTTTTCAATTTTTCCATTTCCCAACTTTTACATATCTCAGCTTTGGGATTTTATAATGTCTCCATGGAGGTAGAATCATCCTACCCCCATGAATTTCTCAATTTGTTAATTTTTCGATTTTCCACGGTTATGATTTTTCTGTTTTTCGACTTGGCGATTTCTCGTCAATTTTTCGATTTTACAACCTTTCGATGTGTCAATTTCTCGAATATTTTTCAAATTTTCGGTTCCCAATTTTTTTTGTCATTTCTGTTCAAGCATTTTCGGTTTTTCGACAACATTTTTGATTTGTTGAACTGTAGGTTTTTTTGTTTTTTCGGCTTTAAATTTTTTATATGTATCTTGAAATTTTAGTTTTTGCTCGTTTTCAATTTTTAGACATTTCAGTTTTGAAATCAATCAATTTTGCGAAAAAATATTTTTCCGCATTTGTGTGGACCGCGCCCCTTTGGAATTTACACTCGTGTGGTACTGGTTTTTACTTTGCAGAGGTTATCAGTAAACAAAAATATCAAAAAAAAATTTTTCAAAGAATCGGAATTTGTTGGGCTGTACTTCAGGGGCACGGGAAGTTCTATCTAGATAACCGTTACCCAGTTGTTTATGCAAAAAATCGTTTTTACCCAGTTTAGGTAGCACTAAGTTTTTTTTGTAATTTAAATTTAAATAAATCAAAAAAAAAAATTAATCAAATTTAATCATAACTTTTAACATCTCGAACTTTGAAATGAATCGCATTTATGTGACGCTTTAAATGCGCTTTATTTTTAATTTCTTAATTAAGTCTTAAGTTAATTTTTTAAAATTTTTCAACTATTTCATTTCTAATTTTTCGATTTCTTGCTTTTAGATTTTGGGCTCTTTCTGTTTTTTAATCTGTTGATGCTTAGATTTCTCGATTTTTGTTATTTTCCCGATTTCTCGGTTTTGCGTCGATCTTTCAATATTTCGGTCGTTTAAGTTTTAGGTTTTTAAATTTCTCGATTTCTCTTTTTTTTTTTTAATTCTTTAAATATTACATTTTTCGATTATTCAAATTTTCGATTGTATGATTTTTTGATGACTTAATTTTTCGAATTTTTTTATTTTTCAATCTTTGGACGTTTCAATTTTTCGATTTTTCAATTTTTCGATTTTTACGTCCCGAGCGTAAGCAAAGAAAGTATTGTAATCGAGTCCGTCGGCCGACTCTCTACTTTTACGTTTTCTCGACCTTTCAGGACCCCTATAGAGGACGAAGAAATAGGTCACCGTTTCTGTCTGTCTGTCCGTATGTCTGCTGTCCCGGATTTTTATTAGACAGATAATCTCCGGAAGTATTGGGCCGATCGTTGTAAAATTTTGTATTTATATTAGAAATATCATCTAGATGGTAAAACGCTAACCAAAATTTGTCTAATCATCCCCACCACTAAGGCAATGACGTCACTTCAAAATTGTACATAGTATTAGTAAATATTTCTTTTAATGTTGATTAATTACTGTGTTAATTTTTTTCCCAGAAAATTTTGGGAATACAATACTGTTATTTTTAGCATCACACTGCACAAATCCTAGCTGATATACGTATCTTTGCAAAAATGTTTTTAATTGGTCAAGTTTTTAATTGGTCAAATGAAGAACGAGTCACCCCATTTTTCTCGAAAATGTGAGAATACAGTCTTTTTGTGATAATGATAAAATAAGAATTATAATATTCAGGGCATTTTGTACGACTGTGGTTTAATTAATAATTTTGGTCCTCTGTTTCGAGAAGACAAACTCATTCTGGTTTCTACCTAGTGCTGAAGAACATTTTATCTTGTTAGTTAAGTGCTTTAAATATATTTTACATTGTTCGTACCTTTTTTTTTACTTTACAGAGGTTATCACTACACAAAAACCGTAAAATCAACTTTTATCATTTTTTTTTTTAAAGAACTGGATTTGTCCGACTATACTTCAAGGGCGAGGGAAGTTCTGTCAAAATATCTTTAGACCAATTTTTTTCGAAGTATATTATAAAAATAATTAAAATAACAAATTTTAGAACATAAAAAAAATACATTTTTCAATGACTAAGTTTACCCTATATGTATTGCCAATAAAAAGAATGACATTGACGTTGAACTTTGAAAAAATAATCAAGGTCACATCAAAATCTGAAAAAAATTCGAAAGTACTAAAAACCTTGAAACTCCATAAAATCTACACAAAATTTCGAATAGTTCCAGTTTTTTCA